ATAACCACAACACCTACAATAACCACACCAACACCTACAATAACCACGCAACACCACAATAACCACACAACACCTACAATAACCACAACACCTACAATAACCACACCAAAACCTACAATAACCACAGCAACACCCACAATAACCACACCAACACCTACAATAACCAAGCAACACCTACAATAAAAACACCAACACCTACAATAACCACAACACCTACAATAAAACCCCACCAACACCTACAATAACCACAAACACCTACAATAACCACAACAAAAACCTACAATACCAAAACACCTACAATAACCACAGCAACACCTACAATAACCACACCAACACCTACAATAACCACAACACCTACATAACCACAACAACCTACAATAACCAAAACACCTACAATAACCACAGAACACCTACAATAACCACACCAACACCTACAATAACCACAACACCTACAATACCCAACAACACCTACAATAACCCAAAACACTACAATAACCACAGAACACCTACAATAACCACACCAACACCTACAAAAACCACAACACCTACAATAACCACAAACCCAAAACCTACAATAACCAAAACACCTACAATAACCACAGCAACACCTACAATAACCCCCAGCAACACCTACAATAACCACACCAACACCTACAATAAAACCCAAAAACCTACAATAACCACACCAAACAAACCCACAATAACCACACAACACCTACAATAACCACACAACACCTACAATAACCACACCAACACTACAAAAAGCAAAACAACACCTACAATAACCACAGCAACACCTACAATAACCACCCAAACAAAACCCACAATAACCACACCAACACCTACAAAAACCACAGCCCAAAACCTACAATAACCACACCAAAAACCTACAATAACCACAAACCTACAATAACCACAAAACACCTACAATAAACAAAACACCTACAATAACCACAAAACACCTACAATAACCACAAAATAAAAATAAACCCCACAAACCATACAATAACCCACAACACCTACAATAACCAAAACACCTACAATAACCCCAACAAAACTACAATTTAAACCCCACCAAAAACCTACAATAACCACAACACCTACAATAACCAAACACCACAATCACCAACAAACCCACCAATAACCACAGCAACACCTACAATAACCACACAACACCTACAATAACCACAACACCTACATAACCACAACCCACCAAACACTACAATAAAACCCCACAACCTACAATAACCACAGCAACACCCACAATAACCCACAACACCTACAATAACCACAAACACCTACAATAACCACAGCAACACCTACAATAACCACAGCAACACCTACAATAACCACAGCAACACCTACAATAACCACAACACCTACAATAACCACACCCAAAACCTACAATAACACCCCAACACCTACAATAACCACACCAACACCTACAATAACCACACAACCAACCCTACAATAACCCACAGCAACACCTACAATAACCACACCAACACCTACAATAACCCCAGCAACACCTACAAAAACCACAGCAACACCTACAATAACCACAGCAACACCACAATAACCACCCGCAACACCTACAATAAACCAACAACACCTACAATAACCACAAACACCTACAATAACCCCAAAACACCAAAAATAACCACAGCAACACCTACAATACCACAACACCTACAATAACCAACAACACCTACAATAACCAAAACACCTACAATAACCCACAACACCTACAATTTAAACCACAACACCTACAATAACCACAACACCCACAATAACCACAACAACCTACTATCAAAACAAAATAACCCCAAAATTACTATAAAAAAAATTATTTAAACAAAATCATCACAACCAAAAACCCCCAAATTTCCCCTGCTAATTTTTAGAACATTTTTTTTAAATTTTAAATAAGAATTTTAAAGGAATATCCCCGGAATTTATAGAAATTTTAAACCCATATTTTATTAAAATTAAACCCCCCTTATTTTAAAGAAATTTACAAGAATTTTAATTAAAGAAATAAATTAAAGGGATTATAAAGGAATTATTTAAATAAAGAAAATACAATAAAGGAAATAAATAAAATTTTAAAAAATTTTAAAGACATGAAATTAAGAAATAATATTAGATAATTTAATGTTATCAATTAGAATTAATAAAAAACCTCAAAAAAAATATATAAAAATTATTATTATTTATTAATGTAGTTTTTAAAAGGGTTACTTAAAATTTTAACATGGAGTAGTTAATAAAGTATTGTTTAAATGGTAAGAGGGGTATTTTGATTGTGGCCCTGGTAATGGGTTAGTTTTGAATTGTAGTAGTTATGGTATTGTGGGGTTTATTGTGAAATTGTAGTATAAAGAATTGGGTAGATGAATTGTTGTGATGGGATTGTGGGTATTGTAATTTTGTAGCATGTATTGAGTTAGTTGTGAATTGTTGTATCATGGTATTGGGGGGTTAATTATGATGTTGTATCTTGGTAAGGGGTTAGTTATGAATTGTTGAGTCATGTAATTGTGGGCTAGTTGGGAATTTTGAGTCAGGGATTGTGGCTAGTTTGAATTGTTGAGTATTACTGTGGGTTAGTTGGAATTGTGTAGTAAGGTATTGTGGTTAGCTTTAATTGTTGTAGTCAGGTATGTGGTTAGTGTGAATTGTTGTAGTTATGAATGGGTTAGCTTTAAATTGTTGTATATGGTATTGTGGTTAGTTGAATTGTTGTGTTATGAAATTTTGGGTAGCTGTAATTGTGTAGTCATGGTATGTGGTTAGTTGTGAATTGTTGTAGGTATGTAGGGGGGTTTAAATTTTGTAGCCACGTATTGTAGGGTTAAATTGTGAATTAAGGACCCACGGTAATGTGGTCAGCTTAAATTTGCGTCATGATATGTAGACTATTGAATTGTACCGGACTTAGGTATTGTGTGTATTCATGTAATTGTTGTAGTTTTGCAGCCCTTTTGGTTTTAAATCTGTGTAACAGATATCAAAGCTGCAGAGATTTTATGTGCAAAATTAAGTGGGCAGTTTAACCGTTGTAGTATATTTTGGGTTAAAAATTGGAATTTAAATCCAGGTATTTGGGGTTAAAGATAAGTACCAGGATTCAAAGTAAGTGTATCAGGTACGGGTTATTTTAAAAGTATCAATTGGTATTTGGGTAAAAGGTATCGGATTTTGAATAGTTGTGAATTTTAGTTATGAATTGTGGGTTAGGTTATGTTTAGCATGGTAAAGTGGGGAGTTTAAATTGTTGTAAAATTAGGTTTGTGTTTGTTGGAAATTGTTGAAGTCTTAGGTATGTGGGTAGTTTTGAAGTTTAAGATTGTAAAAAGGCGTAGTTGTAATGAATTGTTTAGCAGGTAATTGTAGTTAGTTTGAATTAGGACACTGGGTAATTAGAAGGGTTATGGTTTGTGAGTTTGATTTATAGATGGGGGAAGTTTTGAATTTAAATTGATGTGGAATAATGTTTTAAGGTCTTTAGTTAGCATGGTATTTGGTTGTAGAGTTTTTCAGAAAACCATTTTGAAAATTAGGATCTTTTAAGATATGAATCTGCTGGAACATGTGTTTGTCTCAAGATATAAAGAAAAATGCGTGTACAAGGTAGAAGTCTAGTTCGAAAACCCGCTGAACATGTAAGTTTCAAGGAAACGGACAAGTCTTACCGTGGATCAACCGTTGTGAATGTGTGGGCGCAGGAAACCGCAGAACAACCTGGTGAAGAGTACAGCTTGTGGCTAGTGGTTGTCAAATGTATGTGAGAAAGTTAATGTTTTGGGGGAAAAAAAAAAAGGAAAGGACCGGATCAACCTGCTGCCAACACGTATCAACGCTACCAACAGGTATCGGAAACACTGCTGGAACTGTGTAGAAGTCTTCAAGATATCAGAAACATTGCTGGAAAAGTGTAGAAGTCTCAGATATCAGAAACACTGCTGGAAACAAGTGTAGAAGTCTTCAAGATATCAGAAACATTGCTGGAACAATGTGAAGTGGGGGGGGGGGGGGGGGGGGGGGGGGCTCCCCGATATCACAGATACCAGTATCAACCCGCTACAGCAGAACAACGCTACAGCAGATATCAACCTGCTACCAGCAGATATCAACCTGCTGCCATCACGTATCAACCGGCTACCAACAGGTATCGGAAACACTGCTGGAACAAGTGTAGAAGTCTTCAAGATATCAGAAACACTGCTGGAACAAGTGTAGAAGTCTTCAAGATATCAGAAACACTGGCTGGAACAAGTGTAGAAGTCTTCAAGATATCAGAAACACTGCTGGAACAAGTGTAGAAGTCTTCAAGATATCAGAAACACTGCTGGAACAAGTGTAGAAGTCTTCAAGATATTAGAAACACTGCTGGAACATGTGTAGAAGTCTTCAAGATATCAGAAACACTGCTGGAACAAGTGTAGAAGTCTTCAAGATATCAGAAACACTGCTGGAACAAGTGTAGAAGTCTTCAAGATATCAGAAACACTGCTGGAACAAGTGTAGAAGTCTTCAAGATATTAGAAACACTGCTGGAACAAGTGTAGAAGTCTTCAAGATATCAGAAACACTGCTGGAACAAGTGTAGAAGTCTTCAAGAGCAAACTGGACAAGTATCTTCACCAGGTGGCAGATCAACCAGGCTGTGATGGATGTGTGGGTCAGCAGACCACCACCAGCAACAACCTGGTGAAGAGGACTGGACAGGCTTGTGGCTAGTGTTGCAAATGTATGAATGAGAAATAGTTAAAAGTAGTAAAATGGGAGAGAAAACGAGAAAGACGAGAAAGACAGCGACCACTATTACCATTACACACACACACACACACACACACACAATGCACACACGCACACAAGCATACACACAACACACACACACACACACACACACACACACACACACACACACACACACACACACACACACACACACACACACACACACACACACACACAAACTGCCTAAAAGATCTTACCCATAGCGTAGTAAGTATGCACCAAGTTGGTAATGTCGCCCTGCTGCCTGGCTGTCTCCAGGTGCTCCGGGTGCTTGCTACGCATGTGTTTGAGCATGTTCGACGTGGAGTTGGTGTTGGGATCCCAGCCTATGGAGTGGTTACACAGACTACACACTGTCCTCCGCCGCGCAGGGGAGTCGAACTGGAAATACAGCCACACTACAGAGCCTCGAGGTCGCTTCCAGCTCTGGGTCGACTTCTTGGCCGCCCGCTCGACTGTCTTCGTCCCAGATTCCAGCTTCGATAACTTGGCTTTTGGCATATTTGTCAGTGTTCCAAACTTTTTGCTGTATAACCCTTGTGGTTTAGCGCTTCTTTTTGATTATAATAATAATCCAAACTTTTAGTTCTTAAGACTAGATCACAATCTCCTTCAAATGGTAGATTAGTGGGGTTGTGATGACTAGGTCTGTGGCTGCTAGCACTAACAACTTGGTGGACCAGGGGTTAAAAGGGATGAATGAGACACTTGTACAGCATTTGGGTATCTTTATTCTGTAAACGTTTCGCCACACAGTGGCTTCTTCAGTCCAATGCACAAAAATGTGGAAGATGTAAGGAACTTGGGGTAATCAGTCCCTGAGTCAGGAGTCGATGTGTTCAGTCCATCAAGACTGATTACCTAAAACTCCTCAACATCCACTTTTTTTCTGACTGACTGAAAAGCACTTTGGCAAAGTTTTCAAATGTATCAAAATTTTGCTGTATAACCCTTGTGGTTAGCGCTTCTTTGATTATATAATAATCCAACTTTTAGTTCTTAAGACTAGATCACAATCTCATTCAAATGTAGATTAGTGTGTGATGACTAGTCTGTGCTGCTAGTTTTACAACACTTGGCTGACCAGGTTTAAAGCGAGTGATGACATGTCAGCTTGGTTTTATCAAACGTTGCACATGACATTTTCAGTTTACAACAGTGGACGAATTAAGTTTTAAAGCCTGAGCGGGACATCTCAGTTTTACAACAGGACTGATACTAACTCTCATGCACCTTTTTTTACATGAAGAGACTTTGGCAAACGTTTCCAAGTATACAAGGGCAAGTACCCTGTACAACTCAGTTTTAAAACAGTGACTGACATCTCAGTTTTACAAGCAGTGCTGACATCTCAGTTTTACAAGCAGTGACTGACATCTCAGTTTTACAAGCAGTGACTGACATCTCAGTTTTACAAGCAGTGACTGACATCTCAGTTTTACAAGCAGTGACTGACATCTCAGTTTTACAAGCAGTGACTGACATCTCAGTTTTATAAACAGTGACTGACATCTCAGTTTTACAAGCAGTGACTGACATCTCAGTTTTAAACAGTGACTGACATCTCAGTTTTAAACAGTGACTGACATCTCAGTTTTACAAGCAGTGACTGACATCTCAGTTTTACAAGCAGTGACTGACATCTCATTTTATAAAGCAGTGACTGACATCTCAGTTTTACAAGCAGTGACTGACATCACCAGGGATACGAGGGCACAACGATGTTTATACTGATATAAGACACGATATACCGCTATATACCAACTTAATAACAAACACTACTGTACATTTATGGTAGACAATACCGGCAAGATAAAGAATTAGACACATGTGCAACACCTGGGTGTCTTCAGGGATTCTTCAGTTATAAGACTGAGGGACTGATTACCTTATCTTCTAATTCTACTGTTTTCCAATTATATCCTTGAACTTGTACTGATAAAGCCACTGGAGGGCGAAACGTCTTCAGTAAAGATACCCAGATGTTGCACATGTGTCTAATACCTCAACAAACACTATAAGTAATGGAATAATACAAAAAATGTTAGCCGATACTGATACTTTGGTACAGCTGTACGTGGTATTACCATACACCAATAACTCGCACATAGCAGAGAAGAGCGACGCTTCGCTCCCACTTGGATCATTTAGTTACCTTTGTTTAGATATCACAACTTTGTGGCCCAGTCCCTAGACCCATTATGTACCTCTGTAATGTTGAGGTACAGTCCCTGGACCCATTATGTACCTCTGTAATGTTGAGGTACAGTCCCTGGGCCCATTATGTACCTCTGTAATGTTGAGGTACAGTCCCTGGACCCTTATGTATCCTCTGTATGTTGAGGTACAGTCCCTGGTACCCATTATGTACCTCTGTAATGTTGCAGTTTACAAGTCCCTGTGATCGACCCATTATGTACCTCTGTAATGTTGGTACAGTCCCTGGGCCCATTATGTACCTCTGTAATGTTCAGTCGTACAGTCTCTGGACCCATTATTTTACCTCTGTAATGTTTGTAGTACAGTCCCTGGACCCTTATGTACCTCTGTAATGTTAGTACAGTCCCTGGACCCATTATGTACCTCTGTAATGTTGGCAGTCCCTGGACCCATTATGTACCTCTGTAATGTTGAGTACATCCTTGGACCCATTATGTACCTCTGTAACGTTGAGGTACAGTCCCTGGACCCATTATGTACCTCTGTAATGTTGAGGTACAGTCCCTGGACCCATTATGTACCTCTGTAATGTTGAAGTACAGTCCCTGGACCCATTATGTGTCTCTGTAATGTTGTACAGTCCCTGGGCCCATTATGTACCTCTGTAATGTTGAGTCATCCTGGACCCATTATGTACCTCTGTAATGTTGAGGTACAGTCCCTGGACCCATTATGTACCTCTGTAATGTTGAGGTACAGTCCCTGGACTCATTATGTACCTCTGTAATGTTGAGGTACAGTCCCTGGACCCTCTTATGTACCTCTGTAATGTTGAAGTACAGTCCCTGGACCCATTATGTGTCTCTGTGATGTTGAGGTATAGTCCCTGTACCCATTATGTACCTCTGTAATGTTCAGTCCCTGGACCCATTATGTACCTCTATAATGTTCAGTCCCTGGACCCATTATGTACCTCTATAATGTTCAGTCCCTGTACCCATTATGTACCTCTGTAATGTTCAGTCCCTGGACCCATTATGTACCTCTGTAATGTTCAGTCCCTGGACCCATTATGTACCTCTGTAATGTTCAGTCCCTGTACCCATTATGTACCTCTGTAATGTTCAGTCCCTGTACCCATTATGTACCTCTGTAATGTTCAGTCCCTGGACCCATTATGTACCTCTGTAATGTTCAGTCCCTGGACCCATTATGTACCTCTGTAATGTTCAGTCCCTGTACCCATTATGTACCTCTGTAATGTTCAGTCCCTGACCCATTATGTACCTCTGTAATGTTCAGTCCCTGGACCCATTATGTACCTCTGTAATGTTCAGTCCCTGGACCCATTATGTACCTCTATAATGTTGATATACAGTCCTTGGCACTTTTCCTCCCTTATGGTATTACTATCAAGAGGTAAACAGCTGGCATCAAGGAAGATGGTACCACATCTCTGGCTATAATCAAGGTAGCCTTCTTAACGGGGTACTATTAAAGAGTATATAATATATGCATATAATATACTTAATTTAAGCAATTAGCTACCATCCAGGAGGAATTATAAATGACACACGTGTGCAACACCTGGATATCTTGATCTGAAGACGTTTCGCTCACCAGTGACTTCATCAGTTCAATACAGAATATAGGAAACCAGATGGAAAGTGGTCTCAGTACCTTAACTTCCAGCCTGAGGGACTGATTACCTTATTTTCCACTGTCGTTATACATTATCTATATAGTGAACTGATAAAGTCACTGGCTGGAGAAACGTCTTCAGATAAAGATACTCAGATGTTGCACGTTTGTACTTTCTCGTTTAAAACTATATATTAGTAAGACAGACGACCCAAATAAGACCATTTGTCATCATCCACACCCTGGATGTTACCACTGATGGACGGACATTGTAGCTGCAGTGTGGATCACTAACGTGTCAACCATCAATGATCCACACAACTCCCCATCAATGATTAACACAACACGCCATCAATGACCCACACAACACGCCATCAATGATTAACACAACACGCCATCAATGACCCACACAACACGCCATCAATGATCCACACAACACGCCATCAATGATCCACACAACACGCCATCAATGATCCACACAACACGCCATCAATGATCCACACAACACCAGCATCAATGATCCACACAACACGCCATCAATATCCACACAACACGCCATCAATGACCCACACAACACGCCTTCAATGACCCACACAACACACGCCATCAATGATCCACACAACACGGGCCCTCAATGATCCACACAACACGCCATCAATGACCCACACAACACGCCATCAATGATCCACACAACACGCCATCAATGACCCACACAACACGCCATCAATGACCCACACAACACACCATCAATGATCCACACAACACGCCATCAATGACCCACACAACACGCCATCAATGATCCACACAACACGCCACAATGACCACACAACACGCCATCAATGATCCACACAACACGCCATCAATGACCCACACAACACGCCATCAATGATCCACACAACACGCCATCAATGATCCACACAAACACCATCAATGACCCACACAACACGCCATCAATGACCCACACAACACGCCATCAATGATCCACACAACACGCCATCAATGATCCACACAACACTCCATCAGATCCACACAACACGCCATCAATGACCCACACAACACGCCATCAATGATCCCACAACACGCCATCAATGACCCACACAACACGCCATCAATGATCCACACAACACGCCATCAATGACCCACACAACACGCCATCAATGACCCACACAACACGCCATCAATGACCCACACAACACGCCATCAATGATCCACACAACACGCCATCAATGACCCACACAACACGCCATCAATGATCCACACAACACGCCATCAATGACCCACACAACACGCCATCAATGATCCACACAACACGCCATCAATGATCCACACAACACGCCATCAATGATCCACACAACACGCCATCAATGATCCACACAACACGCCATCAATGACCACACAACACACCCATCAATGACCCACACAACACGCCATCAATGATCCACACAACACGCCATCAATGACCCACACAACACACCATCAATGACCCACACAACACGCCATCAATGATCCAAACAACACCCCATCAATGACCCACACAACACGCCATCAATGATCCACACAACACGCCATCAATGACCCACACAACACGCCATCAATGACCCACACAACACGCCATCAATGACCCACCACAACACGCCATCAATGATCCACACAACACGCCATCAATGATCCACACAACACGCCATCAATGACCCACACAACACGCCATCAATGACCCACACAACACGCCATCAATGATCCACACAACACGCCATCAATGACCCACACAACACGCCATCAATGACCCACACAACACACCATCAATAATCACAACACTCGCTATCCTACACTAAAGTATAACAATGGAAGACGGGTAAATAAAGGTGAGGTAAATAACGTACAGAAAATATCTAACCAAGACAGAACTCGCAGCAATGAATTCAAGTTGGGGAAACTTAAGTTTAGACAGGATACAGGAAAGCACTGGCTTGGTGACAGCAGCGTCACTGAACCTTGGGTGGCTTTAGACAGGATACAGGAAAGCACTGGCTTGGTGACAGCAGCGTCACTGAACC